ACCTGGCCTTGCTCTCACAGTCAACCATGCCCGGGAGATGGGGCCTCTCCGAGGGGACACTCCTCTGACGTAGCTTCCTAAAAGGGCCGACGGGTACATGGAACTGGGATGGAGCTTCCTGGGTAAATTTAAAACAACGTGATAAAGAAAAGAAGGAAAAGGTTGAGGTAGAAAATATCCGAGAAGGGAGAAAAGGACCAGGGTGCTGTCATGAGTCACACGTGGACGTGAGAGTGTTCTGGCAGAAGTCGGGCTGAGTGAGCAGGAAACTGGGGCAGTGAGAACCCGCCATCCTGTCCTCCGGTGTCCGTGTCCCGGCCGGAGGGCGAGGGGGAGGCAGGACGCACCAGGAGGCCTGGGCCGCTTGCTGCCCCTTCCCGGGGCAGCGGGGCCTGTGCCCCACCAGTCAGAACTAGAAAGAAATGACGGGTGCTGTGCACAGGGCAAGGGCAGCCACACCCACCACCTTCTGGAACGCTGACCCCTTCCCAGGGAGTGGGCAACGTGCCCGACGCCCGCCGTCTCAGTCCTGACAGCGAGCCTGCAATTGCCACGACTCTCCTCCTGCAACAGGAGAGGGAACCGACTTATTGCCCAAGCTGATAACCAGCTATGAAACAGCCCTAAAATCCATCTAATGCCGAAGCTATGCTCCCCCTTCTGCGTCCTCAGAGGGAGGCAGAGGTGACTACGACCTTTCAGCCAGCGGACGAGAAGGTACAGGGTGGAGATGCAGGAGGACAGCCTGGAGGAAAAGCAGCCCCACGTGGCAGAGTTGGGGGCAGAATAGGGAGGGTACAAGAAAATAGATGTCAGTTCAACTCAAGGAGACACTGTGGCCTGGCAGAGCCAGCCCGGGGTGAGCCCCAAGTCCCCGGAGGTGGCTAGGCTGATACCGACAACCACCCGGCAAGAACTGTGGGCTGGGGAGCCTACCAAGCGTTCAGTTGCCGTGAAGTCCTTCAGCCTTTGTAGAGCTGACCCGTCTGACCCTCACCCAACCTTCTGCGCTAGCAGCAGAGAACACTGGCCCACCTTACAGAGACAGTGAGGGTGCTCCGAGAGGTGGAGCAACTTGGCCAAGGTCACACAGTGAAGTAGAGCTGTGACTGGGACCCAGGTCTTCCTCCAAACTATACTGGGTGTGGAGAGGAGTTGAACCAAGCTGACCTGGACCACTGGCCTCTGTTCTCACCTGTGTCATCCCCAAGGCCCTCCCAGAATCAGGGAGGATCAAGACATCTCCTGCACTCACCTCTCTCATCTCCGCAATGGCTTCCTTCCCCTCCACGGCTGCCGCTCTGCTTCAGGGCTGCACTCTCTCCCTCTGCACTGCCCTGGGTCGTTCCAGCAGGCTCTTAGCTGGCCACCTGACAGCGCCCCATCCTCCTCTAAAAACCAGTAGTGCTCAACCTGGGGAGCTTTAAAATATACTAACCCTCCTCCCAAAGCTACACATAAATCAACACAGCATGGTGCTGGCATCAAGATGGACATGTAGACCAATGGAATGGAATTGAGAATCCAGAAACAAACCTATGCATCTGTGGCCAACTGATTTGCAACAAGAGTGCTGAGACTATCCCATGGGGAAAGAACAGCCCCTTCAACAAGTGGTGCTGAGACAACTGGATAACCAAGTGCCAAAGAAAAAGCTGGACCCTTACCTCACTCCCTATACTACAAAAACTAACTCGAACTGGATCAGTGACCTAAATAAGATCCGCTGTCAGATCTCAGCAGGAGGAAATCCTGGTGCTTCCTAGAGACTGCCTACGCTTCCTAGCTCAGCCTGTGGCAGCGGGCTGGCTGGGACATCAAGACACCAGGGACTTCCCTTTCTGCCTGAGCTCCAAAGTCCGTGTGAGGCTGGCTGGAGAACCTGGGAAGAGTGCCATAGGGTGACGCTGAGCTGTGGGTGCCTCAGGGACACCGTGGGTGCCTGTAAGGGCCCTGTAGGGGGCTACAGTGCGGGTGCTGTCATTGGCACCATAGGAAGAAGCCACCAGGCGCAGGCGCTGTGGGATGCAGCTGTGGGTGCAGGCAGGATGCCTCTGTAGCACTGTGGGTGCCGTGAGGTGCTATGCAAACACAGCCGTTGGGGCAGGAGTGCTGTGCTTGTGTCCTAACCTTGCTACTTTTTAGAGTCAAAGCCTAGAGTAATGTACAACTTCTCTGAACCCCAGTCGTCCTTACCTATAAAAATTGTATTAATACCTGCTTCTTGAGTTGTGGGGAAGATCAGCTATTACCTACAGGACGAGTCCAGTAGAGAGCATCAGGGTCAAGTGTAAACCATGGGACAAAGGAAGAACCGTTCATACCCGAGGTGGCCCCACACCGCAGGGGTGCCAGAACAGAGAGCTGACACAACCCAGGCCCTGAGCTCAGGCCGTTTTTAGACCAGGCGTGGAAAGAGGTATGCGTCTCCAGGGTAACCCCACTGTTTGATCACCAACACCCCGCTCTCACATCTCAAGAGCCTGAGCCTCCTCTAGAAGGTCACCTTGGGAGGCCACACCATTCCAGGGCACTGCCATCATTCCAAGCAAACAGGTATGCCTGCTGGCAGTTTCCTCGCCCTCCCAGCCACCCAGGGAGGTGCACGCCGTTTGCCAGAAACTGAGGCTCCGGGTGACCAAATCGCGCACCAGGAGTCAAGCAGCTACCGCACAGGCAGAGCAGGGACTCGGCCTCGCCAAACCCCATGTGACAGTTCCCGCAACGGCACAGGCCTGTCTGCCCGTGGCCACATGGTCATCTTCGCATTTTCCCCGTGACCCTGTGACATCGATCTGTTTCCGGGCTCACAGGAGGAACAAGGCTAAATCACTCTGCTCCCTCGGCTACCCCCCTAAAAGTAACCCCAGAACAACAGCTCGATTGCTTCTTTTCCCTGTACTTAACGAGATTCTTTCCCTTTGTTCACGCAGGCCCACGGCTTCCCGATTAGAGAAACATCCGTAGCAGAAAGGTCCTGGGGAAGTTAAGCTTTTTCCGACTCGCTTCAGAGCCTTCCCCTGATTGAGAAAACCACGCAAGATCCAGGCTCTGTGATAAGGCAGCGGTTTCCTGTGGGGATCAGCGTGGCTGCTGCCAGGAGGATTACCATGAAGATTATGGCCCAGGCTGGCCGGTGGCCGAGTGGGGGGACTACAGGGCACAGGCGCTATCCAGGGCGAGAGAAGGCCCACGCAGGTCCCAGGCCTCGTCACTCCTCTGCCACCATCCAGTGGGCCCGGCCCTGCCTTGTCTGCCTCTGGGAGCCGACCACGCTGCGTTGGATTCCAGCTGGAAAACCCCTGGCCAGCCAGCAGCACAGTCTGAAGTGAGAGGGTGAGCTGGGGGACCAGGGGATTCGGGGCAGTGACGAGTGCAGTGGCCCAGTGCCTCCCAGCCACGGGCACCAGAGGGGCCAACACTGCAAGTGCCATCAGGCAGCTTTACGGTGTGTTCACCCCCCTACCCCCACCCCCACCCCCCACCAACAGCAGCCCTAGGGGTAGGGAGGCAGGCGAGGTTGGGGGGGGTGGCGTGTGGGGGAAGGAACAGGAACAGTGTGGGGAGCTTTCCACATCTCATCTTCTCCTTCAAACAACCCCATGGGTAGGCGTTATGCGCCCATTTCAGAGACCAGACAACCAAGACTCTCAGAGGTTTGATGAAGAGCCTCAAGTTTTACAGAAATTCTCAATCCAGAAAACAAACATTTTGTTTTTGAAACTTAAGCCTCAAGCCACAGAGCCGGTAAGCAGAAGGCATTAGAATTGTAGGGTAGTTCAGGCAAGGGCTTCAAACCCCAGTTGTGTCACTCACGGCTGCGAGGCCTCGGGCAAGTCACTCAGCGCCTCCAAGGCCTGGTTTGCTCCTTTGTGAGATGGCGCTGGTCACAGCGCCCAGATCCCTCGGCTGCTGAGAGGACCAGATGACGCAGGGACTGTGCTCAGCACCGCGTCTGGCATGGAAAAGCCTTCAGCCGTGGTTATTCTGACTTTCCTGATTAGCAGGGATTCGAACCCATCTCCATGTGCACCTCAGACTCTATTGCCCACCCACTGGGGGTCATGTCATCCTTTGCCCAAGACTGGCAATCAGATCGCCTCGGAGCTTTCCAATGCCCACCCCCAGGGCCTTCCCGAGCCCCGCCCCCGCTCTGCCTTCCTGCTGTCCGACCCCGCCTGCCACTGCTAATTCCGCCCTGGTCCTGGGACCTCGGAAACTGAAGACACGAGGGCTGAAACAGGTTCAAAGCACGGCAGCCCCACTTCGCAGATAAGAAAACGAGAACCATCGGGATGAATGGCTCTTGAGGACTCATGAGGCACCAGGGTGGCTCGGGCCGGGCCAGGGCGCGGTGTCCCGGCTCCTCCCCACGGCCTTCCTCGGGGCCTCCAGACCCGCACACGTCCTGCGGTCAGGGTGGCCCGAGAGGCTCCCGAGCCCCAGAAGTCCACCAGGGCCTCTCCATTCTCAGTTCCATCATGGAATGTGAACTCTATCCAGAAGAGCCTTTGGATGAGGAGGTGGGTGAATCACTTTCGGAAGGTATTTCCATCTCTCAATCCCAAGAACCATGGTGGGTGTGGGGCAGGGGAGGCCTGGGAGGGGTCCTCACAGAAGCCAGGCCCCCCACGAGCACGCGGGACCTCCACTTTCCCTCGGAGGGCTCGCTCCCTCCAACCCCTCGACCCTCACTTCCTGGGTGGACTCAGGATCAGACATGAGCTGCAGCCCCTCCACGGGGCGGCGACCAGCCTCCTAAGGCCCCACCTGAACGTCGGCCCCTCTCTCCTGAACGTTTGCTCCCCATCCCTGAACAGACACCCCGGGGGGCAGGGCAAGAGGAAAACCCCCCTTCCCCTGCCCAGCACTCCCCAGCTGGAGCGGGGAGCTCTCTCACTCGGACAGGGAGGCCCCGGAGGGCAGGGAGTGGAGAGGAGACCAGACCTTCTCATGTGAATATGCTGAGATGCTACTCCACCACGTTGCCAAAATCATACCTCTTTCAACGGGTATCTTTTCCTCCCGGGGATGTCAAGATTCTCTTGAGGTCTCTCTCTGAGAGTGGCTTCAGGAGAAACTCTAGAGGGAGGAGAGAGAGAAATACATTTTAAGAAGGCATGAGTTAGTGGGGCGTGGGGCTTCCAGGGACCAGCCCCGTCTGGAGGGGCACCCACCCCCTGAGGGGTCTGCTCCCTCCCTCCACCTCTGCAGGCAGGGGGGCCACACAGGGCCTCAGCAGCCAGGAAGACAGAACGAAGCGCCCGGCCCCACTCAGGCCCTCGGGATGGCGTCCCCAGAGCCTGCGGACTGAGACCCATTTTCAGTCCTCCGAAACCAGCCCGGACCCTGGGCCACGTCCGCGTGATGACACCGAGCACGCTAATCACAACGTTGCATCAGCTTCTTCGCTTCTAGCTAGAACGTTATCAACTTGGTGTGGGAACTCCCTTTTCCTTAGGCGGCGAAAAGGCTTTCTGAGTAATTTTGAAAATGCAAAAGACAATTAATCACTGTCTAATGAAAGCAGGCCTTTCGGGCAGAACAAAACTTTCCAGATCTGGTGTCCATGAAGAGATAAGAAAGAAGAAGAGGGGTCTTTGGGGGTGAAAGAGACGACTCAGCCCCGGAGTACAAAGGCCAAAGTCCGACCTCTCCCTGCCTCCCCTCTGTCTGTCTGAGCCCGCAGGTCACAGGAGGATTGAATTCGCCATGTCCAGGCAACATACCTGCCTGCCACGGCTTAGGCCGGTCCCAGGGGACCAGGTCACTCACAGGCACAGCTGGGAAACAAAAGCAAATCTTACAGTGGACAGGGAGAGCCACGTTCGCCGACCAGCGCCCCCCCCCCGCCGCCCCCCGGCTTCTGCCCTCGGCGAGCAGGCCGCACAGAGCGGGCCTTGATCACATTTCAGGTCACCTCAAACGAGTACCACGATAATCCCGACGCCCTCTCCACTACTGTGAGAAAGTATTACCACCTCACGGATGAGGACCACGAACTCAGGAGGAATTAAACAACTTGTCTGGGGTCCTGCCGCTGAAATGGGACAGAGCCGGGACCAGAACTCAGGTCCCTGGGAAGTCGCGCCTGGTGCAAGTGCCATCTCCACAGTGAGAGAGGGCAAGCAGGGGACAGTGAGTTCAAGGTCTGCTGCGTGGAGCCCAGTGTCAATGCACCACACTCACAGGGGGCGTTCTCAGAACACCCCGCTAACTGATGGGGGGCAGGGCCTGGCCCAAGGATTGGGCCTCTCTCTCCACCTCAGTTACTCAGTCAGGGTCAGCAGGGGGACCTTACCACTCAGGCTGCAATGGGAGGGATTCATGATACATGTAAACGCATGTGTATGTGCATATATCCTATATATACCCTATATATATCCTGTGTGTGTATGAGGCCTGTCCAGAAAAAGTCCAGCCACTGTCAATATAACGAGAATGGTTTGCGTGACATTGATGTAACCTGGCAGCTAAGGAGAGTGGACTGAAATTCACATGTGTGAACAATGATGACTTCACTGTACCAATCAGTGGAGGCAGTAGGTGCCATTGAGTGAGCACGTGTACTGCGTGGCCATTGCATTAAAAATGACCAAGTGAGTAGAGCAACGAATCTGCATCAGATTTTGAACATTCTTCCGTGGATGATTCAGAAGGCTTTCGGGGACGATACAATGAGTGCAGCACAAGTTAAAGTGTGGCACAAATGCTTCAAAGATGGTCGAGGGTCTGTTGCAAGTGATCCACTTTCTGCAACACGCAGAACACCTGAGAATGTTCCACTTGGCCCCCACTACAGCTCCGGTTTGGTGCCCTGCGACTTGTGGCTTTTCTGAAAACTAAAGTCACCTTTGAAAGGGAAGAGGTCTCAGACCATCGATGAGATTCAGGAAAAATATGACAGGACAGCTGATGGTGACTGGGAGAGCTGTGTGAGGTCCCAGGCGACTACTTTGAAGGGGACTGAGGCATCTTTATCCTACATACGGTGTTTCCTGTATCTTGTATCTTCTTCCGTAAATGTCTCTATTTTTCACATTACATGGTTGGATACGTTACATGTCCATATATGTATCATACAATTTGCATTAACTACAAATTGAAAGTTCTTCCTTACCCATGTACCATGACCTTCTAGATCTCATTCTGTGTAACCACATGCGTGTGAACACGTGCCCACATAAGCTCACATGCAGACAGTGTCACTTTATACAAGCGGGACCTCACCCCAGATGTCCTACAACGCCACTCATCAGAGACATCACGTCTACCCATGACTGAGAGACTACACAGACCTCCCAAGTCTTTTTTCTCAGCGGCACGTGCCCCACAGTAGATGTGGACCGTGGTGCATTTTCCTCTTCACCGTGGGTACGTGGGGTGTTTCTGCCTCCGGCCACCCCACCCTTGCAGTGGCCCCCACAGCTCTGTGTGGGATGTCCGTGCAGTTCCAAAGCCTGGAAGTGGATGGCTAGGCTGAGACTCTTGCGAGCTCCACCTCGGAATAGATGCAGACAGACCACCTTCCCAAAATGCCGAGTCACCTCCCCTTACACAGCAGCGGGGGAAGGAGCCCCTTTTCTTGGATGCAAATTGGAATCCAGGGTTCTGTCTACAAAGGGCTCTTCTGGTCACCTCCCAATGGCCCGGGAGGACGAGTCCCCTGGACAAAAGGGGGAGCTGATTTCTGGGCTCCTGCAGATGGCCACGGCTTCCCTGCCCCAGGGGCATCTCTGAGGAACTCGGGCCCACCTGGGCCAGCCACTGCATTTATCGGCTCAGAACTGATAATGAGCTTTTATGAGCTCTGGGGACCTTGAGGAACATGTATTAATGTCAAACATGCCTGTCAGCCATGCAGCCTGGGTGAATGTCACACATTAACGAAATGAAAGGCCGCAGCCGCACGGGAAGGAGCTGGGGGCTGCGTGTCAGGCGGTGCAGGTAGGCCCGTCAATAACAAAATCACTTTCCAGGTGCTGCACTCCCGGGCCTGGAGCTGTCTGCCGTCTTCAGAGGAATTCTGCCTCCTCGCAGCCTGAGAGGAGATTAGTTTATTACCAGTCTGCCAGGAGGGGCAAAACCCAGCACTAATCCTAATTCCCATTTAAGCAAATCTGCTTTGTGTGAGAGAAACCAGCTGGGCTTGGAATTTCTTCCCCCCTTTCCCTGCGATCTCATTCCAGCCCCCTCCTCTTCGAGGAGGAGGGGGGTCCCTGCAGATGTTGGCCCCAGAGCCCTCCGCGGAGGGAGGGAGGGAGGAATCCCAGGGTTCAGGGCCAAGAGTGGGGACTGCTGCTGGGTGACAAGAGGTTGCAATGAAAGATGGTGAACCCAGCGATGGTGTTCATTGTTGACCTCGCTGTTCCGGGCTCTGGAAAGGAAAGGCCACTGCCCTCCAGGTCCCAGACATGGTCTTACTTTGGACCAAGATCCCACAGGTTTGAAGGGGCACAAGTGGAAATCTCCAGCCCACCCCTAACTACATCTGTGACCCCAAACAGATGCCCCTCCTACTGCGTCCCTCTGCTTGTCTGGGAAGCAGGGCTGACAGTGGCCGGTGACTTCTAAGCTGCTGTGAGGGTCTCATGAGCAATGACGCACAGGGCCCAGCAGAGAGCCTGCCCTGCGATACCCTAGGTCTTGAATCTGAGACCCTGGACTATATTGTATGAACTCCTAAGGAAGAAAACACTGCCAGTTAAATAATTATGACGGGTCACTGTTTGCATGGCACATCTTGGTTTCAGAGACATTCAGATATTAAAACATAAAGTGTGCCTTGCGCTCTGGGAAATACAGTGAGAACTTAATCAACGGCAGTGAACTGGGGGTGGGGGGGGGGCGCGGGGACGACCGGCCAGGTCCTCCTGCTTCATGAAGCCCGGCTCCAAACTCGGATCCTTCTCCTCCTCTCCTTCCAAACAAAGCGAATCCACGCTGTGCAAGGAAAGCCAGCTCTCGAGTCGTCAGAAACATTCCAAGAGCCACTTCAGGGTCCTGGAGGAGGCCCAGGTGAGAGACTGAAATGCCCGCCCCCAACCCGTTTCCCACTCTATTTTTAAGTTAGAACAGGGCACGCACACACAGCAGCGCCAACACCGCGAGCGTGCAGCCCGATGAATTTCCACGGGTGGGGCGGAGCTCCGCGGCGTGACTGACACCCACACCGAAGACGCTTCCCAACTCTCCCCGTCGCCGTGGCTCTTCCCTCCCATGCGTCTGCAATCAGCCCTGACTGTCCAAGCCCGCCACCCCTGCCCCTCCTGCCTGCGAGCAGCCTCCCCATCGCCCCTCTGCTCGTCATCGTAAACAGCCTCCTGGCTGGTCAGCCAGCCGGTCGCCTCTGTTGCCCTCCCACCTGCTCTCGCCTTTGCTGTACAACTGAGCCCATAAATGTGGGGGGCCACATCTCTCTCCTGCCTCGGCGGGTTCCCGGTCTCCCTTTGCCCACACGTGTGGACTTGCATTAACTTATCCCCGGCTGTCCATTTTTCTAGGCCCTCCCAACGTACGCAGCCCCCACGGTCCAGCTGAACTCACCTGCACGGTGTGGACAATTCTATTCTACCTTGCTGGCCTGAGCAGGGAGTTAGAGGAACTGATAGATTTTAAGTGGTTCCCACGATACCGGGTAAAAAATAAGCAGACAATATACAGAGGAAGGAGCAATTACATAGAGTAGAATCTGCTTGCTACTTTCTGTAACAAAGGTGGTGGCCATGATTAGCGGTTCCAAGTTACAGTTCTCAGATTCTTCCCTCCCTCAGGAATCTCCACGAAGAACAGATGGGATCTACACCCCAGACATATGCTAACACTTAATTCGCAACAGCTGGACTTTCTGATTATTTTATATATTAAGTTTCCACATAACACTGAAGACCACTAATTTAGAGTCTCTTGATATCCTAGATCCCAAGTCAGTGCTATTTCAGAGGAGGAGGGCTGGGAAGACTTCCTAGAAGAGGCATCCAGGAAAGAATGGAGGTGATCAGCCCAATGATGAGCCTTTTCCTGGCTAGCTCCTCTACAACCCCCAGTCCCCTCTCTCCCTCTCCACTCCAGCCACTCTACAT